TTCTTCCCCTGACCCTAGCTCCCTTTCCCCCTCAACACAAGACAGGAGACACACGTAAAATACATAACTGACAGGACAATCGACGTGCAGCATGGGACCACATCAGGGTTGCGGAAACAACGAGTCAGAGGACATGGACTACAAGAACTAGAGTACACACAACACATGCCTAACAGACACCCCAATCAACCACTAATAGATGGACAGATAAAACAAGCAAACCCCAGGGCGACCTTGGGACGTTCACCTCAAGGAAAGAGAGAGGGGGGAGGGGGGAGGAGGAGAGGGGTAGAACAAGAAAAGGAAAAGCCAGAGCAGTAAGAGATACCCAAGTCATATGAACTAGGAAGTAGGCGGGGATGGGTCTGAGACAACTAGGGGTTGGGACCGGACACGGCAACACAGACGAATCCCGGGGGAGATGGGACCCCACCGGTCAGGGGGTCCCCGACAGCCCGGAAGGGGTGGGGATGGACATACTCAAGACAACACAACCCACACCCCAACAAACATAGGGGAACACACAGACAATTAGGGAGGGACGTACAAACGGCCAGAAAGATGAGTCCGCAACTACACAAGCAACCGCGGTAATCACAAAACCACCAAAGGTCAATCAATGCATTTAGGTAGACTACACTGAACACTCAGACCCGTGCTCATGCCCGACATACAAGCCCAGACGGCTTGACCAAGCCGATGTCAAATGGCTAGCCAAAGCCCCAACACTGTGAGGCCACCTGCTGGTACGTGCCCTAAAACTATCGAAGGAGATACAAACTAGAAAACTGCAACCAAAACACACAAGGAAGGATAATGTATAGCAAATACTATAGGCTGCCCACACCACAGCGTAAAGCCCATACGCTTTATGCCTTGATCGCCACAACAGCACGGACGCAAAGCATAGGGACCGCATCAACCTTTCATAGGTAGCCGCATACGGTCAACGAAAGACCAGACACGAAGATTAACACACTAGACCAAAGTAAACTACGTAATGAAAGAATATATAGTAGATCTAGAAATACACGCTGCAAGCCAAACACTAGTCTATAAGGGGAAGGGAGGGGAAGGGAGAAGGGAAAAAGAAAAGACAGAAGAAAAGCTGTGATACCACTGAGCGGGGGGCGGGGGGAGGGTCACTATAAAGCTAATGTATGCTTAATTGAGACACGACATGCTTACAACTCATTGTCAGCTGTATTTTTTCTGTGTTATGTAACAACAACCTTAAACCCCAATAAAAACTAGACTGTGAAATATAAACTAAAACTGTGTTTCATAAATGTAAAAAAAAAAAAAATACAAATGCATTAACAATCCAAAAGAAAAAAATATGCAAAAGACGTAAACATTTTATGTAAACAGCGCAGACACATGAAGGAAAAGGTTTTCATGAGTGCTTAAAAATGCTTAGGCTTTTTCTTTTAGTCTCTGTAATTTATTCATACTGCAAAGCTACACGTGGACATCTGCCAAGATTATGATGAACAAGCAGATACAATCAATCATTCACCTCTATACTGAGAAACTCATATCGTGAACAAAGACTCATGGAAGATGACAACATTCATCATGTCACACAATATTTTTGGTCATATGATAACCTGAATTATACAAAATCAATATTCTAATAATTAAGGGGAAGAAGGTTTATGTTCTGATTTTATACCTGTGAGAAATTCAAAATTGATTTATGCAAAAAATATTTGCACATCCTACAACTTACTACTTTAATGCTGGAGATATTGAAAAGCACAAGGCAAATAAAAGTCAATTAGATTTTACCATAAGAGAAATTGGTCAACTTACCATTAAATAATGACTTTTCTATTACATTTAAATGAAGCATATATGGCTTACAGAACTAGCTTTAAATAATAATTAAGGGTGACTGGAGGACTTATTTCTCTCTCATTTGTACAAGGGGGTCAGAGTAACTGGGTGTCTAAATTAGACTCCGTGCTTTTCAGAACCACAAACTGAGATCCAGCCCTATTTACCCTCCTTTCCCCCCCACCGGCAACACTAGTTAGGAAGGGAATTTCCTTTTGGGAAACAAAGGAATGAGGGTTACCAACTTGGGGTGCAGGTTCAGCAGGAGTGAAGGAATAGTATGTTTGACATTGCGAGAAAAGGCAAAGTGATGTGCCGGGTTGAACACTACATATCTAAAGCTTATGCTTTGGATCTACTGCAGACTAAGTTTTAATGAATAACTCCCTAGTTTTGGAGGGACATTTTCTCATATCTCGGTCACATTTTTTGTCCTTTATCTAAACCTTCACCAGAATGTATTAGAAACTCACACTAATTGTGGTTCATTGCAACTTTTTTTTTTTATATAAATAGCTATATTAAAATCATAAATTGCCCACAAATGTATAAAACCCTGCTCAACAGTTATTACCCCATCAAAGACTGTTCATTTGAAATGTTGGGAAGCAAGATCAACGATTTAACCAAAGCTATTTCATGGAGTATAATTTTCAAGCTCTCTGATAATTTCATAAAAAGGCTGCATTAATACAAGTAGGTGTCACTGCAAAACTACAGCAGGGACAGCCATCAATACCACTCCCCACCGGTGTGAAGTGTCACTCTGGACCTGCAGCGCTGTCCACATCACAATATACTCAGCTTTCTCCTGCTGTGGCAAGGCTCTTAAACCATGGTACAGCACAGGTAGGCCAGCAGTGTCCATAGGTGGTGTCTGGTTTAAGGTGCACACAACTGAAGGGGCAGTGCTTCAAACCTAAGGGTAGAACCCTTGAAAAATGTGACCGGTGCTGAACATTCAACTGATGGGCGTGACATCTACCTCTTCCCCTATCTAAATACTCTGAGTCCCTCAGACAGTCATCAGATATATTGTGAGCTGCCTCTACCTGCCTAAACTCCCATTCTGTGTTCCTGTGACCACTGGTTTGCCATTGACCATGACCTATTACTTCCTGGACCAATGCCGCCAAGCGCCTCAGTCTTTTAAATTGCCCTTCAGACTTGACTCTTGTATCCATTTCTCATTAACTGGCCCTGCCAGTTATCATCCATCTCTCCCCTGTAGTTGCAATCTTCTGCATGCCAAGCACCGCACCAGACAAACATAACAGTAGGGGACTTTACGCCTGACAATGTTAACACTGCTCATTATTAAGCTTCAGTTAACACAAATTATTCAATCTTCTCTAGCGAGAACTTTAGAAATTTCTGTATTATCTATGTTTCCAACAAGCAATTATTTTGTCCATAGATCTATGAATAGCACTTACAAAATCAGCCTGAACTAGTTAATGAAAACAAATGTAAAATATAGTATTTTACAATAATAACCTAAACAGTACAGTTATTTGGTATACGCATGATTGAGTGCAACTTCATCAGTATCTTTGTTACAATCTGCTTGGACTTCATGTAATAAAACACCTGCATGGTTCTTGGACGTGAGGAATGTCAAGATCATAAAACTGCAAATATTAGCGAGTTAAGTATTATAGGCCAACAATATCAGGAGGGATGTTGGAGTCTAGTCTTTGTCTAGTCAGTTGTCCAGCCATGCTGAAACCTTTGCAGGCTTTTTTTTGTGGATAGGCCAATTCTCCATCTCTCTTTCTAACCTAGTGTCCAGATGTTCTGGGAAATCAGAATGGTTTATGTGTTAAGGGCATTCACAGTAATCGTGTGTTTTTAAACTACCTCAAGCAAATTTAGACATTAGTTGAAATAAATAACATTTTGTGCTCCCCTTTTGGTCACAGAAGGCTCATTCCAGGGCTCTAATTAACCTTGCACTGTGGAGAGTCCCAGAATGAAGTAAATCCCATACAAGAGGGTTAATCTCAGAAGAGATTGGGATACTAAGATAGGACCTGCCAAAAATGGGGTACATGCAATGTATGATCATATACTGTAAGCAACTCCTCATTACAGTTTTAAAAAACCATTAAATTTTGTGAGCTTTGAAGCTAGTGATTAGTGAGTGTGCTTGATCTTGTTTATAGATTGTTATTGTTAGATTTATAATGAAAAATACCCAGGAAATATCTGAGAGGAAAACAAATCTTACCTTGGTGGGAACCCGTGCTGTCAGAATAAATGCTCTGCATGATGCAAGGACCTATGGAACACAAGGAATGGAGAAATTAGTTCCTTCTTTAAACAAGATTTTTCCAATTAAATAAAAATACATTGCACTCCTATACAAACAGATGTGTTTGTACGGTCAAATACATTTTCTTCTAATATTTTAACATTCAGAAGTTATTTAATATAGAAGGATAAAATAACACGTGTTAACTAGTGATTAACGTGGGAATTCACACTTTTACATACATAAAATATAAACTTGGCTAAAAAGCACACCACAAATACAATCCACATAAGTAACTTGGTCTTTAATTTAATTATCATTGTCCACTTGTGTACTTAAAAAGAGCACACTATATTTCTTATAAATATTAAAAAAAATAAAACGCCGTTCCCGCTGTTCCTGCAGGCACTCAGGGGGCCCAAGAGGTAGCCTGATGGACCCCCCGGTGGGCGGCTGTCTCCCGGTCAGACGCGGCAAAGGAGCTGTGTTCTCTCTGCTCCCTCTCGCCGCGCGCCTTTTGCTGATCCCGGAGCCAGAATATGACGTCATATTCTGGCTCCCGTCATCATTAGCCTGCCCGCCCGGCGAGAGGGAGCAGAGAGAACACAGCTCCCTTGCCGCGTCTGACTGTGAGACAGCCACCCGCCTCACTGGACCCCAGGGACAGGTCCACGCTAGCTCTCCAGGTAGGGAGTCTGTGAGGGCGTTTTTTAATTAAAAAATAATAATGTGTGTGTGTGTGTGTGTGTGTGTGTCTGTGAGTGTATGTGCATCTGTGTGTGTCTGAGTGTGTCTGTGTGAGTGTGTGTGTCTGAGTGTATGTGTGTCTGTGAGTGTGTGTGTGTATGTGAGTATCTGTATGTGTGTGTGTGTCTGCGAATGTATATATGTGTGTGTGTGTCGGAGTATGTGTGTGTCTGAGTGTATGTGAGTGTGTATAATATATATATATATATATATATATATATATATATATATATATATACACACATACATATATATATACACACACACACACACACACACACACATATAGAGACACACACACACACACACACACACACAAGTGTATATTATTTTAGGGGGAGGGGAGAGGAGAATCTTGGGTGAGTTCCCATACTCTATTCCCCAGGACTTGACCCCTGTGTGAAGCCCTTTGAAAAATCAAAGGTCTTGAGGTTTCTTTCAACAATGTAAGCATTGCCATTTTCCAAAAACTACAATATTTTCCACTGCCAGACAAAGGACCGCATCTATGGACAAATATCACACATTGAGATATAGTAATTTTGGTGCTTAGCGTTTACCTTTAAAACTGCTGTTTAGATAGTAATGAACTATTAAAAACAAACTGCTGAACTTCTTATAGTTGGTGAATATAAACACTGTAAGTGACACTATGGGCGATCCAGAACACAATGCATAAAACACAAAGAACTCAATTTTCATATATAATGCTCTATATACTGCGCACAGTACTAAGGTAAATTTAATTTATATTAAGACACAACATATATACACATATTTCCTGCATTCGTTTGCATATGTTTGCAAATAATAGGAATGAAAAACCAAGACTGAAACAGGTAACCTGAAGACTGAATGAATGCATGGATAAATTAACACATAAATCAAATATAGGTGAAAACGGCCAATCCACTCTTTAGATGTAACATGTAGCGATAGCACTGTGTATGCTAGGCTTAAATTCGCTTGCTCATCAAAAATTGCTATATAATCTTTACGTTAAAATGATACTCATCAATCCTATGCATGTTCTGGAATCCAAGCATATGTTAAAGATGTGCCATTTCTTAAAGCATAATTAAAATCAAAGGTAAAACAAACAAATCGATATCATCTGATCTTTTTAATTTGTAGCATTCGATATATGATACTTTGCCAGTTTTTATGTTGTTGTTATTTAGTATATGATTGGTGGTTAATTTTTCATATAGCTGCATCAAGTAAAACAAAAACAAAAAATATATAATTTCCCATGAGGGATCATGCAGTGCAAAGCTTGGTACAGCAAGTCCAACTACTAGTTTGGAAAATGTACCTTGACATGTATCAGTCTGTGATGATGGCTAACATGGTTCTTTTACGTTTCATCAGTGAAACTATATTACATGCTCCAGACAAGATAAAGGACACACTTGAGGAAACAAGAAATCAGCAGTTTCTGTCGATTAGTGAAGCTCAGTGATATTGAAAAGGCCACTTAATTTATCAATTGAATGCTGGTTTGATTTCACTTCAATGAAAACTGTCTGTGTGGCAGATGAAACAGGCCGTAGAGAATACAGTGGACTCTTATATCAAGCTAAATGTCTTTCCAACATAAAGGATTTTCATAAGATGTGCCTTTAGTTTTTACTATATGCAAAAATATAGAAACGTGGTAGCATAGGTTTGGAAAAAAGGCTCAGAACATCATGTTCAACCTTTTCACACATCCCTTCCGCTGCTGTTGATCCAAAAGAAGGTCAAAGCCCAACTGGAGGTAGATTTCCGAAAAGGGGAACTCCTAAACGTGTCTAGTTCATAAATCACTTTTTAATCACAAGCTCAGTCCTGCTACTTACTGCCTCTTATCCAATGTCCACTTCTAGAACGTTACTCTCGAATTATCTGTTACAATAAGTGAGTCAAGCAGCATTCACATACAGAGCGCAATGGCATCACCTCCCAGAAGACTACCACCCCAACTGCAGCAGTTTTGGGGAAAAAAAACCTGAGCTGCCCTCAGCAAGCACAAACTGGTCCCTCTAGACTCTGAGCAACTCAGATTGTGTGTGAATTAACTTCATTATTATTAGCAGCTCACCGACAACCATTGCTATATACCCATCAGTTAGCATAAATAAAGCATACAGAGAAGAGGAGAAATGAAAAAATATTCTATTTATCCTCTTCATTTGCAATGTTTGACTTGGTTTTACATTATGATGCAATTTACTAAATCTTTGATATAAAATGAAAAAGTAAACATAGAACATAGAATGTGACGGCAGATAAGAACCATTCGGCCCATTTAGCCTGCCCAATTTTTGAAATACAGGTAGTTCCCGACTTTACGAACTAATTGGTTCCGAAGCCTATTTCATAAAGTGAGAGTTCATAAAGTGAGAACTAATTTCCCATAGACACAATGTAATAAACATGAGTTCCGTTCCTGACCAACAAATTTTACCATTGAAAACTTAAATTATTAAGTACAAATAAAAAATGAAAGCATAGCAAATACATGTATGTTGTAGGAATTTTAAAGGCATACATCCCATTTTGAAATCTTCATCAAATTATCATTAGAGATGTCGCGAACTGCTTGCGAACTGTCCGCCGGCAAACAATAGCGTGTTCGCGTTGGGCGAACATATACGATTTCCGGTCCGCCCCCTATTCGTCATCATTGAGTAAACTTTGACCTGGAACCTCACAGTCAGCAGACACTTCCTGGGAGGGAGGGTCTGCTGCTGATTGGCTGGAATGTGTCTGCTGACTGAGGTTCCGGGTCAAAGTTTACTCAATGATGATGAATAGGGGGCGGACCGGAAAACGTATATGTTCGCCCAACGTGAACACACTATTGCTCGCCGGCGGACAGTTCGCGAACAGTTTGGCGAGCAGTTCGCGACATCTCTAATTATCATCACTCCTCATACTATTAAATGAAGAGACATGCTGCACTTCAGCCCTCCAACTTATTCCTACTTATTCATTTTCTTCATTATCAGCTTCCCCCTCTCCTTTATCACTTTTATTTTACTCCTTTTATTTTTACAGCTCTCAAACTCTCCTCCTTCTCCTGTCTTACTTTCAAGCTTGCATCTCTTTTTTAGCACTTTTCTGTTACTCCTTTTTTTTTTTTTTTTTTACAGCTTTCAAACTTTCTTCCTTCTCCCCTTTTTCAGGCTTTTCAGCCCTCGTCCTGCTGCTTACTATTGCTGCCTGCCAAAATATGGCACATTGGCAAACACACATACACACAGAGCGCTAAGTCAGACACACAAAGACAAATCAAGTCAAATCTATTCTCTATTGCACAGAGTGCAATAATATTACAGGATCTGTAATATATGCCCATGAAAGTACAAAAATAATATAGTACAATCTAAACCTGTTTTTTAGACTTCCCTTTATCTTCAGGTGTTCCTGATCCTCATCCCTCTTCTTGTCTACTCCTGACCACAATTTCCTCTTCTTCTCTTCTTGTGCTACAAAGCAGTCTCCTCGGTCCTGATCCGTGAACCACTGACACAAAATGGCGGTGAAACAAAATGGCGGTGCATCCAGAAAAAAAAGTTCAGAAAGGCAGGAGTTCAGAAAGTGAGAAATGCCTGTACTTTAATTAGTCCTTGGCCTTATCTTATAGCTAGGATATCCTTATGCCTATCCCATGCATGCTTAAACTCCTTCACTGTGTTAACCTCTACCACTTCAGCTGGAAGGCTATTCCTTGCATCCACTACCCTCTCTGTAAAGTAATACTTCCTGATATTATTTTTAAACCTTTGCCCCTCTGATTTAAGACTGTGTCCTGTTGCTGTGGTAGTTTTTCTTCTTTTAAATATAGTCTCCTCTTTTACTGTGTTGATTCCCTTTATGTATTTAAATGTTTCTATCATATCCCCCCTCTCTCGTCTTTCCTCCAAGCTATACATGTTAAGATCCTTTAACCTTTCCTTGTAAGTTTTATCCTGCAATCCATGAACCAGTTTAGTAGCCCTTCTCTGAACCCTTTCCACAGTATTAATATCCTTCTAGAGATATGTTCTCCAGTACTGCGTACAATACTCTGTGAGGTCTCACCAGTGCTCTGTGCATTGGCATGAGCACTTCCCCCTTTCTACTGCTAATACCTCTCCCTATACAATCAAGCATTCTGCTAGCATTTCCTGCTGCTCTATTACATTGTCCGCTATGTGGACCTAAAATCTAGGTTAGCAATGTCTACTGCACCACTCTGATCTATTATTTTAGTTACCCAATCAAAAAAATCAATACGATTAGTTTGGCATGATCTCCCTGAAGTAAACCCATGTTGTCTCTGATCTTGAAATCCATGTGTTTTTAGATGTTCAACAATCCTATCCTTTAACATGGTTTCCATTACCTTCCCCACTACTGAAGTAAGGCTTACTGGCCTATAGTTGCCCGACTCTTCCATACTACCTTTCTTGTGAATGGGCACAACATTCGCTAACTTCCAATTTTCTGGGACAAGTCCTGTTAACAATGATTGTTAAATAAATCTGTTAATGGTTTTGCTAGTACACCACTAAGTTATTTTAATAACGTTGGGTGTATCCCATCAGGCCTATCTACTTATTTAAAATGGAACATCTCAAGAAAAAGGTTGTATATTTCCCATGTTATATTCAGTAGTGGCCTTTCCAAAGAAGTGTCCATCCAATTTACTATGCATTTAGAATAAAGTATGCTAAAAGGCTATGTTGTAGCCTGAGCAGGGTTCTATGTATATATATATATATTCTTCTTGCAATTTCACATATATGTTGAGTGTGTTTACTGGGGTGAATTTGATAAGAAGTATGAAAAATCTAAATGGTAACAATCCATATAAGCTGTATTGCTAATTAACTTTGTGTTTACAATAAATTAATTTAAAAAGACATTTTGAAAAGCTGACAGGGTGATTTCCCTTTTGTTGAGAATGACAATGGTTGCAATTGCCTTGACATGTTTTAAATTAAATAATTTTTATTTTATAACAATACTCGGCCAACAGGCACACATACATCCAAATCCCAAATTCACAAAAACTATTCCTATAAACTGTAAAATAATTCAGCAGAGAGCCTCGCTGTGTCTGCTGGAATAATATTCTCTGCAACCTGTCTCTTCCAATAAAAGGCAGCTTGTTGACTTTATTTCCACCACTTTGTCTCCCTTACTTGTATCCTTGTGCCATTTTCAATGTGTCAGCTACAGTATCACATCATAATTAATCTGTTTCACGGAATCATCTGCCAGAAGTGACCTGCTTATCCAACTGGCAGAATATTCC